AAAGGTGGCACACAGAGGTCACAGTGCCCTGTGTCACCGCTGAGCCACCCCGAGCCCCTCTGCTCACCTTCTGTCCCTTGTCACCAGCCTCGCCGGGTCTGCCCTGGGAAACACAGCAAGAGGTCAGGATGGGGCATTACCCCCCAAAAACGGGCATGGGGGACATGGGGGGCACTCACCGCTCTGCCCGGGGGGCCAGCAGGACCCCTCTCACCCGGTGGCCCTGGCACTGCCACCACTGTCGCTGTCCCTTGCAGGGCTTGAGGGGTGGGAGGGCACTGCCCGCATTGGTCACCCTAAAAGGGGACATCCCGGCTGGGAGGTGGCTTTGGGGACAGGGACATGGCTTCCTGACCTCCTCAGCGCAGATCTCAGCAGGGACAGCGCAGGGACAGAGCAGGGACAGAGCAGGGACAGGAGTGTCCCCAATGCTGCACCCACCTTCTCTCCCTTGAGCCCCCTCACACCTGGGTCTCCCTTCTCTCCCGGCGCTCCCTGCACGGAGAATCCACAGCACAGGTGACACCACTGTCCCCAAAACTCATCTCTGAGCCTCCAGACCCCCCCAGAAAGTGTCCCCACTCACCGGTCTGCCCGTGGGTCCCACATGGCCAATGTCCCCCTGAAACGGAGCAGGGCCAGGATCAAAATTAGGGTCGGGATTAGCCAAGTCTGGGATGTCCAGAGGGGACAGGGGTCACTCACCTTGTCACCCTTGATCCCGGCCAGCTCGGACAGCCCCTCCTGGCCCTGCTGGACACACGTGTGGTCACTCTCTGCGCACTCAGAGCATCCCAGGGTGTCACCCAGCCCCGGGACAGGGGGGTCCCGCTCTGGGACAGGGACAGGGGGGTCCCATCCGACCCGAGACTGGGGGTCCCGTCCCGTTACTCACCGGCAGCCCCCGCTGCCCCTCGAGGCGCAGTGCAGCGAGGACACGGAGATGATCGCAGGGCTGGCACGAGTCCCCCTGGTGGGGACAGCAGGGGACAGCTCAGGGGCTGCAGGGACCGAGCAAAGCGTGGCACGGAGGGTCACACACTCACCTTGTCGCCTTTCATGCCCTGGATGCCGGGATCGCCCTGGGAGGGAAAGGAGGAGGTGGGCGCTGCTCGGTGTCCCCCAGCTGGAGATGGGGACACCCAGCCCGGCCCGTGTCACCTACCCTGTCCCCTTTGGCTCCTGCGGGGCCGGGGGTGTCCTGCGAAGGGGGAAACAGAGGGAACATCAGGGATGCTGAGGTGACACCGCTCTGTCCCCCACCCCCGGGTTCAGACTCACCGAGATCCCATCCCTGCCGGGCGCTCCGGGCTCCCCCCGCGGCCCC